ATAATCAACCAATTAATAGAGACATCAACAAGGCATAAGCCTTCAACTTTATATTTGCCAATCCATGCCAACTTACCGAGCATGAGCTCTCAACTTAATATGTTATGTATGCAACAACAACATGAATGTAGTAACAACAACAACAACAATTCAACAACAATTCAACATTGGCCATAAGCCTACAACTTAATATCTGCCAATAATTAGAGGCATCTCAACAAAATTCCATATTACCTGCAAATTCTCAAATTATAACAAGTATACAATACACCGTATCAACCAAAATATACTATGATGTCCTGCGTAATTATTTGGGTAATTCGAATATGTATTGCTAGTCACTTATTAATTATAGTATCCCTCTTACTACTAACTTATTTCTACTAGAAATCACCAATCTTATAGGGATAGAATATCTTACTAATTCTAATTATTATGCTCAAACTCTTAAACTAATTTAAATAACTAAAATAGCCTGCACGGGAATAACAGTAGGGACCTTAATAGCGACGTGTACCTATTGACACAGTGGATGTGTAGCTCAGTACCTTCCCTTCACACCTTTGTACTGTCCGACACACACCATACTTCCTGGCACGTCACCCAGCCTTGTGTCACTCGACAAAAGTACCTATTCTCCTCGGCGCACCTTGCAGCCTCATGCCGCTCGACACCTAGGACCTGTGCTCCTCGGCACATCTTACAGTCTTATACCGCTCGATGCAATTACCTGTGCTCCTCGGCACAGTGCGTCTTCACATTTTTGCACAGATTTCGTCCAGTCTTTGACGAACATTATCCCAACATTACAGTATTCTTGTCGATCATTAATTTCCGAACAACCGCACGGAATAACTTAGCAACGGGAAACTACATCTTCTATTACCAGATTCATCAATCATACAAGACAATCATACTTAAGATTCCTAAACGACCACAACATTATAACGGGCAACTTTCAAGAACAGATCCAGGACAATCAACACACAACAACTATACCTACGACCAACCCCTACACAACATTTATAAATAGTCCCATTATAAGGTCAGAACCCCACCCTTACCTTGGATTGAAGTTCGCTCGACAGCTCTTCGACCGGAACCTTGCTTCGCTTATTTTCCTTATTCCTTTGCTCTGCACTTCTCACAACCAGTTTCCAACAACTTCCTTACTCCAATTGACTTGATTCTTCATTTAAATAAGACTCCACATTATTATTATTCTTAACGGTCTTAACGATACACCCCTTGTATTACCACTTCCAACCATTAAAATAGGTCCAACATAATTATTCTAGTATTCCACTAATTCTAGCATTATTACTACTATTAATCAACTAATTAATAAACTAGTAATAATATAACAACTTATACTAACAATTCCCAACATCTCACAACTTCAACAAATAATTAGAAAATAATTAATTAAATAATTAATTAAATAACGGGCATTACACTATTTATACACAATATTAGGGTATAATAAAATACTAAAATACCCTCTAACGGACTTAGTCAACAAGAATTTCCTAAAATATAAATTATTTCCAACATCATCCCTTAATTTATATTTACAAAAAACTAACAACATTAATTCTATCCCTCAAACGAAGAAATTGATCCGTCTTGATAGCCTTTGTTAGAACGTCCGCCATCTGCTTTTGGGTGCTACAGTGCACAACTTCTAATATTCCACTTTGAACCTGATTCCTCAAAAAGTAATACTTGGTCTCAATATGCTTGCTTCTCCCATGCAGAACTGGGTTCTTATCAGATTGATTGTAGACTTGTTATCAATCATCAACTTTAGAGGCTTGTTCACCTCGATCTTTAGATCCTGCAACAAGTTCAAAATCCACACAGCTTGGCATGCAATCAGAGCGCCTGCAATATATTCAGCTTCACAGGTTGGCAGCACAACAACAGGTTGCTTCTTGGAACACCAAGAAATAGGACCTCCCAGAAATTTGAATAAGTACCCAGAAGTATTTCTTCTATCAGCTCTGTCTCCACACCAATCAGAGTCTGGATAGCATATCAGCTCTGCATCTGATCTAACACTATAAGGGAGTAACACTTCATACCTCAGAGTTCCTTCAGTATCTTGCAGCTTGTCAAACTCTACAAATCTCCTTGGTATATTTCTGAATCTATGTGGCCTCTGAACTTGTTCAGAATCTCCTTCTGATTCTGGAACAATATCTCCTTCTGGACTTTCTTCAAAAGTTTGACTACCACCAGAAGCTCCACCTTTGTTAGCTTCTAGACCTCATTCAGGACCACTATCTTCAGCAATACCATCTTCAAAAATTGGATCACCTTCAGAAGTTATGCCTTCACAAGTTCCACTTTCATAATCATGATCACCGTCAAAGGCTGGATTACCTTTAGAAGCTCCTCCTTCAGAAGGTCCACCTTCAGAGACATGATTTCCACCATAAACACGATCATCTTCTGAAGCTTGTCCTCCAGAACCTACGTCTTCAGAGTTTTCCCTTCTAGAAGCATAATCACCATCATATTTTGGATTAAAATATGGATCAGAATCAGATTCACCATCTGACTCATCTTCAGAGTCTCCAGAAGATTCTTCATCTTCTGACTCTAGCTCTTCTTTAGAACTTTCAAGTTCTAACTCATCTTCAGAACCTTCAGGTTCTAATTTATCTTCAGAAGCATAATCTCCTTCATATTCTGACTCATCTTCTGATTCTTCTTCAGACTCAGAATCACCTTCGGATTCTGACTTATCTTCAGCTTCAGAGTCATCTTCTAACTCTGAGCCATCTTCGGAATCCTCAGATTCTGACTCATCTTTAGAATCTTCAGCTTCATCTTCTGATTCTGACTCATTTTCAAACACTCCAAAATCAGAATATTTAGAGTCATATTCTTCTCCTTCAAAATCAGAAAATGACAATCGCACAGGTTCCTCATCAGATTCATAAGCCATTAATAGCACAGGTTCATCATTAGAATCTCCTCTGGCTATTTTTGCTTCTTCTTTATTTTACCAACAATCTTTAGTAAAGTGGCCAAACCTATTACAACAGTAACATTGAACCATTCTCTTATCATACTTCTCCTTTCCCTTATGATGTTTCTTTTCATCAGAATAGAAAACTTATCCTTTCCCTTGTGCAGTTCACTCAAGAAACTCACTAACACACAGTATTTTCCAAATCCCACAGAAGCAGAAAAATGTGATTCTCAATCACACAACACATCACTGTTCACTCGTATTTCCCGTGTTTTCCGTGGATTTTGAACTGGAGCTCTAGAAATAAAATACATTTTTTGATTAAAATAAAATAAAATTTATTTGAAGATGTATATTTGAGAATATATTTTTTTTATTAAAAATAAGATAATTTCGGATATACATCTCCGAAATTAATTTTTTTTTTTTTTAAAATTATACATTAAGAGATATATCTTCAAAAATAGAATACATTTTTATCATTTTGCCATTGATAAACATAAAAGTGTAATAAGAAATTTTCTAATCAGATTGAAATTCAATTCACTCCATAATAGAAAGGCCCAATGAATCACTTTTTCATATATCTCCACCTTGTATAGTTGTCCCCGTGTGATGAGGAAAATATCTCGTAGTGTGTGGATATGACGGTGCCTCCCGTAACTAAGGACCACCAGTTTCATATATATTCTCAATCCATAGAGGTCCTTATTTCAAGTTACGGGTTTGACCTTTATGGAGATAGATTCCTCTAATAATGGTGGAAAGGAGGAGGTGACTTGAAAGAGAAGTGATTCATGTGGTGGTACAAGTCAATGGCTTGTCGTTTTCAGGATTACTTGTGGTGACCAGATTAAAGTGTTATGCATATTTTGAGTATATTTGACTTTAAGATTAATTGTTTGTTTTGGACCACATTTATTTTGGGAATTATATTTTCTCTTGTACATAATATGAATTCGGATAATCGTTATGCAATTCTGAAAGAAAAGTAATAATTCAAGTTTTAGGTGGTAATGATACTTGGTCGTACTAATATCTCATATATTTTTTACATTATTTTAACTAGATGTGTGTTAACATTGCATAAATCATAGTAAATATCGCAGAATACAAAGACTATTAGTGAGAATTGTGGTGCGATTGCGCGAGCTGAATCCCTTATTATAAAAGGAAAAAAAGCTAATTTCGAAGGGTTCTAAATTTTGATTTAAGGGAGGCACTTGTACAATTCTTTATAATAGGAATTGATTCTTCTTCACCAAGGGAGTTTAATTTCCATCTTTTAATTAATTTATTGTTTCTCAAACTTATAGTTGTGATTAATAACATTATGACTAGATAAATTTCGTTTGATTAGGCATTTTAAATTAATTTATCTTAAATTGTTTGAGCCATGTAATTTGATATGTATTGATTTATAAAATTTCTATATAATATTATTCAATAAAATTTATTCTTAAGGTTTTTAAATATTAACAACTATTTGAATTGATTTAAAGTTGTGAATGATTACTAACTATAAATTCCACGACTTTACATAACATTATTGTTCAACATCTAATAGAATATTATTTGATTGTGATTATGAATTAACATTAGAGAAAATCTCTGTATTAGACATGTATTACTCAATATTAAGAGTATATTATGTATAGTACGTAAAAGGAAGCAAGTCATGTAGGTGCATTATGTAAACCCTGCCATTGTATATGATGTGTAACATGTAGAAAAAGTAGCCATGCTATAGCATCATGATGCACGAATGCATGAGAACATGTGCATGTCAATGTAGGTTGTGAACTATTATCATGGTGTAAGCTCTATATATAAGGATGCTACACACTGTAAATTAATCAAACATTCAAGCAAAGCTAAACATGATTCACTCAAGTTTATTATGGTATCATTGATCAGTTACAATCTCTTCCGCTCTCTAACAACTTTCTAACACCTCTAACCATTTACAGTTGACTTCAATAGATCATCGTCTATCCTCCATCTTCTTACTTGAGCTTCTATGAAAGATTCTTCTCCTGCAGCCACTGGTTGCTCACTTGCACCACCTACATCTATGGTCTTTGGTAATATATCTTTGATTCAAACTCTACTCACCATTTCAATCCGAAAATTTCCATCAAGGTTCAAGAGAATAATTATAATATCTGGAATAAGCAAGTTAAAGGTGTTATCATCACTCATAGAGTGCCTAAACTAGTGGTGAACCCTCAGACTCCACCAAAGTTTTAGAATAAATGAGATTGCATCGATGGAAATGTATTTGCAGAATATGAAGCAGTCCGTGTACATCTGACTCCCCTAAAAAATCTCTGAGTATATATCACCTCTAATGCTAGCTTGCAATAATGCTTTCTAAGTGCGGGACAAAATTCACTGTTACTTCAATGTTCACATGAAAGCTCGTGTGAGGCAATTACGTGTTGAACTGAAATCAATGAAGAAAGGAAACAAGTATGTAACCGAATATGTTATGGCCGTGAAATCTATCACTAATTCTCTATTGGCAGTTGGTGATTCCATAACTAAACAAGATCAAATTAATGTTGTTCTTGACGGCTTACCTTAAGAGTACAACTCTTTTGTTATGTAAAAGTATGGTAGCTCTGAACCTCACACTCTTTGATGTTGAAGCACTTATTTATGTGTAAGAAGCTCAACTTGATAAGTTTAGTAAATGAATTATCTATTTCAAATGTTTTAGCAAATTTTTCTCACGCAAATTCTCAAACAAGTGGTGTGCATGAAATTTAGCAGTAATTATGGCCGTGGACGCATGAATCATAAAAGAGGGTATGGTCAAGAACATTCCTCCTCAGGCTCTGTACCTATATGCCAATTATATGGAAAATATGGCCATGTTGTAGCAGATTGTTGGCATAGGTTTGATGAAACCTTCACTCCAACAAGCGTTTCCCCAAGCATGCATGCACCTTCTTCCTCGACTGATCAAGATGAGACATCCACATCAAACACACAATCTATAACAATGATGGCTCACACACATGAGTATTCATTACTTGAAGCTCCCGAGAAACAAGCATGGTTCACAGACTCATGTGTTTCTCACCATATTTCTCCCTATGAACATTTCTTGTATGCTAGGCAACCTTATTCAGGTCCAAATAGTGTATGTGTTACCAATGGTCGGTTTTTAGAAATTGTTATTTCTCTGAAATTATGATTGGCATACATTTTGGTAAAACCAATTTGACAGAAGCATGTTGAACAAGATGTTCCAACTTTCAGTTTTCAACATGTCGAGTAAGATGTCACAACCAGAAGATAGGACATTGCGTCTGCAGCAGCTGACAGTTATAGTTCAGTTGATTGGTTAGCTATTGAATGTTCAGGAAATATTTAGTTAGCTTATGTGGCGTCCAAGATTCACAAATCATAATATTTTTTGTTGGTTTTCTAAGATTTGCTTAGTTTCTAAATATAGAGACATTTTAGTAAACTAACCAGTCTATAATAATGTTATAAATAGACTGGTGTATACCTAGTTTTAGGTGGAACTTACGTGTGTATTTTTCTAAGGGGTTTAGAATCCTTATTATTGGGTTATAAGTTCTGTGTCAGATGTTCATAAGCTTTTAAGCATTGAACATTTGTGTGTCAGATGCTCATAAGTTGTTAAGCATTGAGTATTTGTGTGTCAATTCTCATAAGCTTTTAAGCATTGAGTTTTGTGTGTCTTGGAAGAGTGACTTCCGATTTAGTTCTCTACTTGTGTTTAGAGTTGCTCCAATTGTTGAGTGTAATTGAAGGGGATTTGAGGAGGGCCTCATACCTAGGTGTGTCTTAGGTAGAAGTTAAGCAAAGGGTAGTGATTAAGTGCGTAGGCTGTAAACTGGGATGTTTGTTGTGAGGTCTACAAATTGATACTATCTAGTTAATTTTGTCCTTGGCTTGGTAGCCCTCAGAGTAGGATGGTTGTTCCGAACTGGGTAAACATATCATGTGTTATTCGCTTTCAGCACTGTTTATTTTGTCCATACATCTTACTGTTGTGTGTGAAGTCGAATCCAGTGTCTCGACATCTCTTAGGACATTCGGGATTTGATAGCCAGAATTTCAATTGGTATTAGAGCAGGCATCCTGCTCTGACTCTGGATGAGATTCAGGGAAATTACTTTCTGGTGCAATGGACAAGGATGGTGGAATTGTGGTTAAAATACATTCTTGATGGTACCAACTATGACAGCTGGAAACCTCGTATGGAAATATTAATAAAATTGTTGGGCAACAAGGCTTGAAAAAATATTGTCAAAGGATGGGAACCACCAAATCTTACAGATGCAGATGGAAAGGTTACTGATGTGCTGAAGCCTGAAGAGGAATGAAACGATGATGATGAGCTATCAACTCAAGGGAACTCCAAATCATTGAATGCCATATTCAATGGAGTTGAAAAAAAGATTTTTAAACTAATAAAGAATTGTAAGCATGCAAAAGTTGCATGGGATACCTTGAAAAAAGTTCATGAAGAAAACTCTAAGGTAAAAAAGGCAAAACTTCAACTTCTCTCTATAAAATTTGAGAACTTGAAGATGAAAGAGGAAGAGATTATTCAGGACTTTCACATGAGTGTTCTAGATATTACTAATGACTCATAAGACCTGGGAGAGAAGATATCAGAGGATACACTGATTAGAAAGATGCTCAAATCTCTTCCAAAGAGGTTTGATATAAAGGTGATTGCCATTGAAGAATTCCATGATATAAGTACTATGATTGTGGATGAGATTTTAAGCTCCCTTAAGACCTTTGAATCTGCTATCAATGAAAGTTCTAAGTTGAAGAAGAGTATAGCTTTTATGTCTGGTACCGAAGACTCAAGGAACTGTGATGAGTTGAACTTAGAAGGAGTATCTGAAGAACTTGTGTTACTAGGAATAAATTTCAACAAGTTGCTGAGGAAGTCCAAGTCAAATGCCAAGAACATGTTCTTCGACATGAACAAAGACCAGGACAATGGAGGAAGTTTCAGGTTTGAAGAAAGGTCGAGTCAGGAAAAAGGAGTTCGATGTTATGAATGTGAAGGATTTGGACACATAAAATCTAGGTGTGCCACTTTCCTCAAAAAACGGAAGAAAGGTCTATATGTGTCATGGTCAGAGAAAGACTCTGAAAGTGATTGTGAAGAAGAGTCAGTCAAACAAGTGAATGCTTTGGCTGAAGTTTATGATTCTGATGATGAAGAGCATACGTTTGGGGAACTAGTTGCTTTATATAGGGAGTTATGTATCAAAAGCGAAGAAGTATGTCAATAAGGAGAAGTGCAAAAGATAACCATTGCTCAACTACAGGTTGGGAAAGTTAAGCATGTATCCATTATCTCTGAACTTGAAGAAAAAGTTATATTGCTCAATTCAAAACTGGACAATATGACTAAAACTATAAGAATTTTAAATAGTGGTTTTGATGCTCTGGATTTGATTCTAGAATCTGGAAGGAATGTTTAGAATGTTAGAGTTTTGGACTATGAGAGTCAAGGTGTGAAGAATAAAAAAGTAGAGCATGTTGTAAAGTTTGTACCTCCAAAAGGTAAACAAGAACTGAAGATGTCTGAGCACATGCCGCAACATTTACATAGACGTCAAATAAAGCATAAAGGAGGCAGAAATCAGAGATGGAGATGCTATTATTGCGACAGATTTGGTCATATAAAATACTACTACTACAAATTATATGGTTATCTCAAATCCAACACACCATCGAGAAGGAGACACACTGTGGACAAGAAAAAGAAAAAATGGATTCCCTAAAGAAGAATGTCTAAAGTAGCAACTCACACCTCTCTTAAAACATCAGCTGAAGAAGCTTGGTATTTTGACAGTGGATTCTCAAGATATATGATAAGTGTCAAGGAATTTTTAGTGGGAATCAAACCATCTTCCACCAAAACTATGACTTATGGAGACGGAACTAAAGGTAGAGCAATGGGTGTGGGAAATCTAGATTATGTAGGGCAACCTAGCCTTGATGATGTGTTATTTGTTTAAGGATTAGCTACTAAACTGATAAGTATAAGTCAACTGTGTGATCAGGGCCCCAGAGTCAACTTTACAAACTCTGAATGTCTGATAACAAATGAGAATAATGAGGTCATCATGAAGGTAGAAGATCAAAAGATAATTTTTATTTGTGGAGTTCAGAAGAAACGGAATGCTCTGCAACATGTATGAAGACCAAGAAAGTTGTTGAAAGGAGTATGAAGTCAAAACAGATGTTGTATGCTTACAAAGTTACACAAGATGTCAGGACATTGTTTTGTGACAACTTGAGATAAACAAAAAATGGTGAACCTGGTACTCAACAAAGTAGCACTAAACTCTTGAAAATCAGGTCATAGGATATGAATAATTAAGTCAAAAAGAAATAGGTACCTTTTACACGTGCAAACATTAAGAAATTAAAAGTGCCTGAGCATGGGAAATTTTAACATTTGTGGGCCAGTCGGATTTTCAAATCTTATGATTCCAACATCTACCTAAGCATATTCCTTCAAGGCTTAAACAATTAGGCATACTATTTATACCAGATAGACTATTTGCTCAAAATGGTTGCATCTATTCAAAATAAATTGTTGATGAGTGCTAAATTGTTATGAATTTGAGTATGAATAATTAGCACTCATCGGCTTAATCCGTTTGCTTTTTATCAATAAACCTAAAATTTAGTGTATATTGGATATAATTTACGTTATAGTGTATTTATTGTGTTATTGTGTAAATATCATTTAGTTTAAACAAGCATTTATATTTAGCCATAGTTAGATATAGCATTGAATAAGCTTTCCAACGCTTCCGACCGGGCGCGAATCGGAGTTACGATTCAAAAGTTATGGGCGAAACAGTATAGAATGTTGTACTGGTTGTTCAACTTTCTGTCATCTGTTGCTGGGCGACGCTTTTGGTCGCCGGGAGATGCTAGGCAAGATGTAGCGTGGGACAAATGTTGTTTTGGTCATCGGGCGACGCTTTTTGGTCGCCGGGTGATGCTGGACAGTCAGAAATGCGTACTTAGGTGTAAAAACACATTTTTTGAGTATGTGTTGTACCCCAAAATTTGCCCTCTCATATTCCTCAAAACATTGCAAGAAAAATCTCCAAGTTGCTCAAGTTTGCTCAAGAGTTGGTCAGACAAGTTATCTCCTAAGGCAGTCAACCCCAAATTAGGGTTTTGTGTTGCATC